TTTGAGAAGCCTTTCAGGTCTATTAAATAATGATTTCTATTTATAAAACATCAAATTTATTAATTCTTGTGAAAAAAACAAAGTATAGATGTTATTCGGTAAAACCTATATGAGTTTTACATTTTATATACTATCAATGCAATTTATAATCATATAGATTATATTATTAAATATTTTACTTGTTATAGTAATCTAATACTTTCCTTTCTTGTGTTCTCTATTCAATCATCGACAATACATGCGTTCATTGTTTTAAATTTTTTCTTGTAAACAACAGCTGAATATAAATGATACCGGTACGAGTAATATCGCAAATAACATTAAAAGCTACATCAATACGTATAACTATATATTAATTATTACCATAAGATAAGGGTAAGATAGTCCCAATTCTGGCAATACCGAAACGAACGATCTTTGTTTTGAAACGATATACTTTATGACAGCGTATAACTTGCGTCGAACGTCATAATACCATGACTCATGTCTTCTAAATTGTTATAGGCAACATGATTCAGACGTAGTTCCGCCGGGTCCGAGACCAAAAAATGACTGATTCTCTTCATGTTAAGGTACAATATAATTCCTTTCACCTAATGTAATCTGTATGTCTATTAGCATTGTAAGAACAAGATTGCATATAGACTGAGTAAAACAAAAAGAAGGGATCACTTTTTTTCTTTACCTTTACTTGTAGATTTTAAAACGTGAAAATCGATTTATCATAGACAAATATGAAAACAGTTTAAGGGGATAACCAATGATATTATCCGTACGAATTGACATTAAATATTTATAAAATCAACTTCAATGAATACAAAAAAATCTTGACTTGAATAAATTTGGAATTTATTATAAAACTAATCACACAAAATCAATTCTATAATCTTTTCTTTTCTCTAGAAAATTTATTCATTCGTTCTAATGAATACTATCACAATAATAGCTTATTAAAAGCTCTTCGTTTCAATTTTCATAACATATAGGAAGCCTTCTCTAGAACAGATGTCACTGTTTATATGATTATTCTTCTTTCATATATCACTCAAATTCATATTTAAATATCTACACAACCATATACAGATATCTTTAACTTTGAATAAAACATTGTTTATAATTATTTTTTCATTGATTGTAGCGCTATGGTTGATTTTTTCTATTCATATTTTTTGAGGTCGTCCTACATGATTGATGGCAGCTGATGATAGAATATATATCCAGACATATATACATATATTAACTACGATTGTACGCGACATAAATAACCGTCGTGAGCCTCTACAACTATAAAATGAAATGAATTTAAATGATGGAGAAGAAGATTTATTTTTTAATCAACGTTGTCTTGAATTAGCTAAATTATTACGTACAGAACAAACAGAAGATTTTCTTCATCTCTACGATAGTTTACCATCAGAATGGAATGGGTCTCGAGTGAGTAATATTCCCGTGTGTTATTTTAATTTTTTTCTAGATAATATTTTATAATATTTAATGACGAATATCTACAGCTTGAAACAGCAAAAGAATATATTCGTCAATTACAAGAACTCGACGAAATCGAATTCAAACTTATTTATCAACGTATATTTCATAACAAAGAAAAACAACAACAAAATCCTTCAATTATCCTTATGTCACAATCACCAATGATTCATAATGATGAGGAACAAATAACTAATCGAATAACACCTCTATCAATTATTCAACAAAAACAATATATTGAAAGAACAACAGTTTGTGATGAAAAACATGATATATCATCAAAAACTTCCTCATCTATAAAGTAAGTTTTTAATTATTATTTTTTTTCTTTTGTCATAAATTTATTTTAGACGAACTAATGATGAAACAAATACAAAAACACGACGTCTTCAATCAATAACCAATAATAATAATAATAATAATAATACACATATTATGTTACAAAACAATTGTCGAACACGTACTCCTGTTGATTCATTTGTTCAATTAAATCTTAAACCATCTATTGATATTACAGTAGAAGATTATAAGAAGGTGAATGATGTTTTCTTATTATTATCTTCTTGTTTAGTAACTTCTTCTTTTTGTTTTCATTTTCACAACCTATTCAATATGATGAAAAAGTCAAACGCATTGATATGAGTCTCATACACATATCATTACATTAAAGAAAAATAAAAAACGATTGGCTTATTGCTATTATATATGCGTTTCTTTTAGTATAGATGCGCTGATAGGTGTATATGTGTTTATATATATGTGACAACAGGTTTGCGTGTTACTAAGACACAGAACGACGAATAACAATGATATGTCTCCACTTTCTTTCTTTTTCTTCTTTCCTTTCATGGTATGCCTTTTTTTAGACAAGGGGTCCAATGTCTACTACCAAAACCAGTAACATCAATAATCGACTTACTGTATTACAATCAACTGATACGAATCAATCGAATATAATACAAACTAATCTGCTTAAAAAATCTAAAACATCTTTAAAAAATAAATCTCATGAAGAAGCAAGTTTCGATTATTTTTCAAAAATGAATGAGGACGATGATGATAGAAAACATTCACGTTCATCATCATCATCATCACCAACAACAACAAATCGATTAATAACATTAACAAATAATAAAAATGATCTATCAATTAATCAAACATATTCACAATCAAAATCATATGAACATAGTAAATTAATTCCTAATAATGATTTTGATTCTCATGGTTCATCAATAGCAACGAAATCATCATCAGAAAACAGTGGAAGTACTCAAAATGGTTCAGCTTCGGATAGTGATGATGAACATAGAAAAAATACATTTCTATCAACGAAAACATCTTCGACACTATCAAACAGTAAATTATTACATAATGATGATACACCAACGATAGTGGTAAGTGAAATTTATTTTATAATATAAAATAGAATCAAAAAAAAGAATTTTTTTAACATAAATTTTAGTTAAATAAAACCAGCGATCATCGCACTAGTCAACATGATCGTATTTCATCTTTACGTAAGTGGTTTTTTTTTTTTTTTTTGCTTTTCGACAAGGAAGAGAGCGAAAGAGGACAAACAAAGTTTATAATAATAAAAAAAAATTTTTTTTTTTTTTTTCATCTTTTAGCTCAACAAGAGAGTTATGAATTAGTTCAATTGAATGTTAATGATGAACATGATTTACGTGCTAGTCAAGTACCTCGTTTTAAACTACCTGCTATTGATGGTATGTACTGTTTTATTTGGTTTTTATGTATAAAACGTCGATTGTTTTTTCACATTATGTGCTTGTTATATATTGAATAGGAGAGTAATTTCTGATGATTTTGAAATGACTAGGCAAAATGAGTATATATATATACACACGCATATATGTATGTGAGTCATACTCTTGTTTTTATATCATCGAAATCGACGTAAAAGATAGGAGAAGGAAGAAAGAACGAACGAAGCGAGAAATACTATATTGCAAAACTACATTATAGTATTGATACAACCACAGCATCTTTTCTTTCTTTCTCTTGTCGTCGACAACGACCGACTGAGTAGTAGCCCTCTCTCTTTTTACATTCTTATCTCATTTTTCGATATAATTACCACACCTTTAACGTCTTCGTCATCCACCCAGTTCAATACACGATAAAAAAAACCCAGGTATACATATCTAAAACTCATCATGATTCGTTCAGTATCCAGGCGGATATGTCAGATCTATTCAATATATGGTCTTGGCCATCAATAATGTTTTTATATTATAAATTATCCGATACTCTCAACTATAGTTCAAATGGTGGTAAGAAACAAAATAATAATAAGACACAAGAAATTCCTAAACTAAAAATTTAAAATAGACAAAAAAAAAATATAATTTTATTAATTTATTCGTTTATTCTCTTTCTTCATATTACAGATCCAAACGGCATTAATAATTCAACTAACGGTATTCTTTCTTATACGACACAGAGGTCTCAACAAAATAATTTCTTACCATCTAGTCATCAAAATCAGTAAAAATAAATTTTCTTTTTATATATATTCAAATAAATTAAAATTTTGTTTTTTTGTTTCTTCTAGAAATACCGAACATCATGAACAATATAATATCAATCATTCCAGTTCATCACGTAAACCTCCAGCTCGTACAATTAAAAAACGAAAACAAGTATTACAAAAATATTTTCAAATATATACACAGAATAGTCCCAGAATTCAGTTAACCAAATAGGTTGATTTTTTTTACTAATGATAAAGAAGTGTTTATATTTTGAGGGAAAAAAACAGAATCGTTTTGATGCATCACTTTGCAATTCAACATAGAAATACAATTTTTTCTGATCAATTTCGATGAAGGAGTTTATGAGTCAATATTTCAACTAATAGTAGTTGACTTAAGTATTCATAATTACTTCCAAGGGATTCACTTTACTACTTTGGAAGACATAGAAATTTTGAAAAATTTATATTTCAGAGACAGTGCATGTAAAAAATCTGAAAGTTATTGTCGCTAAGACTTTGATTACGGTTAAGTTTTAGAGTAAAAATTTAAAATCAACTAATCAGGGTGAGTAGCTGTTACGCTTTTTTTTTATCAGAATTTCACAGGTAACATCACTTATTTTCTGTCAAAAACAACGCTTTTGTTTTTTTTCACAGAAACATTTGCTTCTTGTATTCAAAAATAATATCGGCGAAAAATCCGTGCGAGGGACCCTTACGCTAAATTCCGATGAAAAAAATTTTTTATCTTAAAAATTGGCAAGTCGTGCATCATTCAATGCAATGCTTCACGCTGATTTTAATTATTTCTTTAGCTATTTTTAGTCTAGAAGAATCCGTACTAATTGAATGCATGTTTTAGATATAGGAAAACATTCTCGAAAATTTTCATCGATATCGAATTTAGTAGAAAAAAGTCGTGGCTAATTTTACTGAAGATGTTTTTACGAAAAAAGAATAATTAGTTTTTCAGAACGTAATTTTTTTTCTTATTTATCGATAGAAGAGAAGTTCTTGTTTCAGATTATATATAATTCATAGTCTAAATTTTTTTATTTTCTGACAAAAAATGGGATGTTTTTCCAGCAGCTGGTACAATATTTTTTTTTTAACCAAAGAATTGGTCAATTATATATAAATTATTATTCAAATCTCAAAAAAAGCTCTTTTGTATTGTTTTTTCATCTTATGTTCATGTAGTTGCTCATTTCGAATTAATGCACAGAAGACAAATGAAAATTTTTCAAGATTACGAACTTCCTTCGTCTTTCGAAAGTACAGTGATCAAATAATAACTGCATCTCTATATCGATATCACACAATGAATATCCCTTTATTATTCGTAAAAAGTTAAACTATATCATATCCATATTTTCTTTTTTCTTTTCGATTAATTATATTTTCGGCTACTAAGTATTTTTCTTTAAATTAAAATATCTTTTTTTTTTCTTTCTATTAGTCACAACAACAAGAAATTATTCGCACAGAATTAATACCAGGACATCGTGGTGATCGTGACGTTGATGAACTTGTTATGTTTATTGATGGTAATTCAACATCAAAACAAAAACAACGACATAATTCTGCGCCATTACGTCCAACAGATACAAATAAATTTAAAACAATATCATCATTACCTGATACAAATAGTAATACTAATAATAATACTATAACATCTCGAAGAAAATCTCGTAAACCAATTAAAATTATACAAGAATCAATTAATAATAATGAAAATAAAACATCACAAATTGATGAAGATATACAGTCTATAGATTTTATTGATGATGATGATGATATAACAACAACAACAACAACAACTACACATTCCATCAATAATACATACAATGAAGAAAATACAACGAATATTAGTCTTCCAAATGATGATGAATCTCATTCAAATACAGTCGATATTGATACTACTAATGATTCTAATACAACTGTGAGTATCATCTTAAATAACGTTTAAAAATCTATATAAAGTATCCAATCGAATCGATTGTATATGAGAGACTGTTTTTTTCAAGGTGTTTATATACATATTCTTTAGTTGTATATATAGAGTGAGCCATAAATAACACTATGATGAAAAAAAAAATTGAAATATCTTCGCTTCGGGTTATTCTAATGGACTGATTTTATTTTTGAAATAGTGGTAGAAATATATTCATACGAATGATGTAAAACAAATATTGCTATTGTTAATATTATTAAAGAAATTTTTCCTATGATTAAGTAAGCGAAAATCCATATGTAACGCTCTAAAATAGTGTTTAGTTGCCATTGAAGAGAGTAAAAAGACAAAATGAAAACAATTTTTATCAATGTTATCATATTGATAAATATAGAGGAAGTTCTCAATAATTATTTAGTTCAATAATTAAAACACATTAAATTGATAATTTTATTTTTTTCAAAAATCTAATGTTCTACGTTTGAAAATTCACTCTATGTTTATTAATGTAATGTTATCTTAGCTTATTGAAGTCTTTTAAATTCAATATTTAAGTATAACACTACTTTATTGAATAAATATAAACATTTATTAAGTTCTATTTTTCTATATACACCACATTTATTTGAATTTGATTATAAAAACTTTTTCTCAATATTTAAAAATATGTTTTCGTTCGTCAATATTTGCTTTGGAATAGTATATATCAAAATTTTTCATAATTACATACCCATGTTGTATATTTTGTCTGTATTACTAACGATATACCAGTAGGAGATTATCAATCTATCAATAGTCTATTTTTCTATGAATAAGACTTCATATGTTAATGTGTTAAGTCTATAGATAAATCCTATTTTTCGATTTCTATTCAATAAAGTATTAAAAACATAATGTGAATAATACATATCGAGGATTTTTTTTAGAATGAAAATTTTTTATTACTATAATAAAAATTATTTTTTAGACGGATTCAAAGTTTCAAATGATGTTTTTTTCTTACAATTTAATTTCAATATTAAAAATTTTAGAAATATTTCTGTTTGAGAAAAATTGTATAAATGTATGAACACACGTTATATTCTAATTTGAAATTAAAAACTTTATATATGATATCGATTTATTTAATATTTGATGATTTAAGTTTATGATTAAGTTTTTTTTTTGTTTTGTATAACTATTGAAACTTTTTTAATATTAAACTTTAAAAATTTCTTCTTTTAACATCCATCAACAAGATTACTTGTTTTTTTTTTTTTTTTTCATTAATAATAAAAATTGAATATTATTTTATTTTTATATTCTAAATTTCTTAGAATGGTGAAATATCATTACCCGAATGGTTAGAACCCATACGTAGTACATCTCTAGGGAATAATGATATTGAATCATTTTCATTATCAACAACAACAATAAATAATTCGAACAGTGAAATTATATCGGAACCATTTGTAACTGTAACACATCGTCGTCGTTTAACAAAAGAACGTCGTCAAGATAATAATTCATTATTATCACGATCATCTCGTTTACCATTATCTTCAAACATAAACGATAAACGTCGTTTTCAATCATCAACATCAACACAAAATGGAATTATACGTTCAACAATACGTAATAGTCTTTCAAATATCAAACCATTTATTTCTACAACAACAGTAAAAGAAGAAAATACAAATAGAATGTCGTCATCACCACCTCCATCATCTGTATCTTCGCAAACGATATCTCAAACATCAGTGCAACCAACAGCAACACCACCAGCACCAGCACCAGCATCATCATCATCCGTATCAAATCATGTTATTGAACAATCATCACCTCGTTTATCATCTCATTCATCTTCATCATCATTACCATCATTAATTAAACGACAATCAAAACCTCCACCTGTAGTTTTTCTAAATAAATCTATAGATATTGAATTAAATGATGTTTCATTTGGTTTTGATGTTGAAAATCCAACATCTGATAAACCTCTAACACCAACACCATCACCTGTACCTATTGAAAAAGAAATTGAAATTGAATCTAATACATTATCATCTCTACAATTAAATGATTCATCAATAAATTCAAAATCATCATATCGACGTTCATATCAACAACAACAACAACAACAACGTAATAATCGTGGATTATTATTCTATTCTGGTTCTGATATACGTCCACAACAACATCATAGAAATTATCCATCACAAACATCAATGCCACAATCATCTTATATTGATCCATTACTTCTATTACAATACAATCAACAACAACAACGTTATGCAGCTAATTATTCTCAACAATTAGCTTATATGAATTTATTACGTACACAATATTTATCATCACAATCCCAATATGTTCTTATTCCAACAACATACACAACAACAACAACAACAACAAATGATATTGAACAAGATGAAAAAAATCTTGATGATGAAACTACTCAAACATCTGAACAAATTCAAGAACCATTACTTGTTTATGCAACAATACCAACACAAACAGGACCAATTTATCTTCAATCAACAAAAAAATCCTATTATGAACTTGAACAATTACAACAATCATCTATGCCAACAGTTTATCCAACACAATATTTTTATTCAACACAAACACAACATATTATACCACCACATGCAGCTTATTTTCAACCGATATCATCACCATCATTATTAGTTGAGACAAAATCTCAACACGATGATACTGATGATGAAGATGATAATAATGATTATGAAAAATCAACAAGATTATTTCATCAAACACAACAACAATCATCATCTCATATTATGTCAAATGCATTACAACTTGTTTATAGTCAAGAAAAACGAAATATACAAACAGATCGTTTTAATCTTGATCAATTAACTGCTTATTTAGCGATGAAATGGACAGATACTATAAATCATTATGAACAAGGTAAGATTTATCATTAATATACAGTATTTTTCTTCTCCGAAGAGATGATTTCATAATACAAGAGAGCAGAACCATATTAAATAAAACACGGAGAATATCTTATATGAGTTTTTTCTGATAATAAATAATGAGAACTGTAAAACAAAAAGAAATATACAAATAGAATCCCTTGAACCAATAAACAACAAAATAGGTTCTGACTTCTTCAATTCTAACAAATTCCGTTGAATCACTAAACCCCTCCCCGTAATAGAAGCCCCCTTTAAAGGATCTATCCAGCAAAATTTTCAATTTTTCTCAGCAAAATCCGGCCAAAGTTTGCAAGACCTAATAGAAGCCCCGGGGGGCTTCTAATATGGGAGGGGGTTTAATGTACAGTAGAACCCACCGGAGTTATAAATATGTAGAGCAAGCTGTTTTCGTATCTTGTACTCTGACTAAGAGAAATTTTCTAACCCGTACCCTTGCATATCTCTAATTGAAGTGTGCTTGGATCGGAAACATTATGCCTATATCACTTAGCCGGTGCATTTGCCACGAAAAACCTTTTAAGTGTATGAATTGAACATAGAAGAGTTTGCCTAATTTTACCAATTCGATCCTACACGGAACTTTATATTTAAAAGGCAAATCTGAATTTATTCTGATAGGAATACGCAGAAGTAGCAGCGGTACTGGACTGAGCTTCCCTTACACTTCCTATGAGACCAACATTAACAACGACTTTTAAAATTTCTCGGGAAGCTAATCTCTGTGTAGATTATGTTGAATTATTGTTTATTTTTCTACTTTAGGTGATGATGAGATATTATTAATGAGGGAACAATAAATGAAACAAATTTAATTAATAATATTGTTTTTTTTTTTTCTTCTTTCATCGAAGAAAAATCTTATACAAACATTCAAGTTGAGAATGGAATTTAATTCTATCAATTATATTGTTGGTATTCTTTCTTGTTGATTGAACGAGTGACAAATTTTCTTTTTTTTCCTTTTTCTTTCTTTTTTTTGTTGTTTTTCTTTTGACGACGATTAAATTTCGTGTGAAATTCAAGCTCAAACATTTATCTTAAATGTTGCTATTTATGCAACTTTTGACCTTACCTTTTTTTTTATGTACAAAAAAAAAAAAAACGCAAACCACAATTGTTCTTCTTTTTTTGTTTGTTTGTTAACCTTTTTTTCTGTCTCTATATATACATATATGTGTGTATTTGTGTTTTCTTTTATTATTATGACAAGTAGTACAGGAGTCTTTTCGTTTCTTTTGTCTTGTTGTTGTTGTTTGTTGCCCAATGTGATAATTTTTTTTTTCTCGCCTATGTGTGACGCACTACCTTCTTTTGATTTCTATTTTCCAAGAAGATGCACTAAGCTTCTCTTGTTGTATATGATATTGATTTGAAAAAAAAAGAAAAAAAAAAAAAAAAAGAAGCAAACAAAACAATTCTTGGGCAAACACTAATGTTTAACCGTATCAAAACAGTATTTTCTATCGATGATAAAAAATACGTATAGAAGAAACAAAAATTTAATAAATAAAAACCCAGATTTCTTCTTTTTTTTTTTTCTTTCGTCCCGTTTGTGTACTTTGTATTTTTCTTTTTTGTTCTTTCTTTCGTCTTTGGCCGAGTGATATATATTTGTGAGCGTGTTCTCTGATCATGTCTTATGTTGTTTCTTCACAACAATAAGTTTTTACAAGACAAATTATCATAGAGGATGAGTTAAGAAATTTTGTAGTTTATATATGAAATTGGAAAAACAAAACAATGTTATTAAACAATACACACATTATCAGGAGCAATAGACACGTTATGACGTGCTTCCAAATACGTGCTCTGTTTTTTTTTTCTTGTTTTTCTTTTGACCAACATTATACTAATCTATCTGTGCGTTTGTTTGTTTTTTTTTTCTAACCAAGAATGTACTTCTTTTTTTTTTTTTGTTTACTTACTTTATTGCGCGCGCGCGTGTGTGTGTGTGTATGTGTGTGCTGTTCTGTTCGCGCTCCTGTAAATTTTGCATCTTCAATAGCAGCGTTTTCTTTTCTCCTTTCGCATTTATCATCGCTTTGTTAGTTATTGCTATTGATTGTTTTTTGTTCTCTTCTATGTATCTTTTTCGCTCTCATTCTTTTGTTAATTGGGTTTATTGTATTATGCTCTATTTCTTTCTCATCCCATATACACACTTTTTCCTATAACTCTATTTTGAACAACATGCACACATAAAAGCAAAATAAAATAAACAAATAAAAACAGGCTGACGAATAATACAATTATTTATTTAAGGGAATTTTGCTCTGTTTCACAATTTCTGAACAGTGATTGATCAAAAATATTTGATATTTTCGAGGTAGAGAGATATCTAATGAGTAGAACAAAAGTTGTTATAGACGTTAAATACAAAAAAATATTTCCTAAAAGAAAATATCAGAGTTGCAATGATTAAAAATCGTCCCGCTTTCTCAGTTGTAATTAATATGATAGAGCTGTAACCTTTTTTCTTTTACAGATACTAGACTCTTGTTTGGGATGCCTTCAATTTATTAATCTCCTTCCATTTCAAATAAAAAGATTAAAATGTTAAGCGTACATCTATAAATGCATGCCTTTTTTTTTTTTTTTTGTAAGACCTGCCAAAATCAATGTTGCAATATTTGTAAAGAAAAGTTTTAGCTTGATTGAATGCATTATGTCGAAGAAATACAAGCGATTATGCATTGTTTTTGTGTAAAATTTCATTTTTCAGAAAAATGAAAAACGAATTTTCATATGTATTGGGACTTTTTTTCTCAATGAAAGTAATAGAAAACTGGCCATGTTCAGTCGTACCTTTGAAATGAAAAATAATCATTATCATTAGAAGAATTTTTCGGCTAGGAATATCGAGAGTTGGATTTAATAAAAGTACTTACTAATCACGAAGAGTGCTTATTTATATGACATTTAACATGACACATTTCGAAGCTATATTAACGATGAAAAAACTAAAAGTTGAAAAAAAATTTGCTCGTGCTATGTGAAAAAGTAGAATGAATCTCTTTAATAAGCATTTTCACTTAAAAAATCTAAGTTCGACAGGGCACAAAGGATATTAATGAAAATATCCTACAGCATGAGATAGTCACCTGTACTATTTTTTAGAACAGCAACTCATGTCGCATCAAATGGTATATAGGAAATTTATGTTTCCATCAAGTTTTTATATTCTGAAAGATCATATATCTATTGAAAGATATTATAATAATAGTGGATGATATAAATAAATATAAGGACTCAGTATATCTGCCAGGCAACCTATATCAACTTTTATTTAAAGTTATTTCAATCGGATTTTGTTTCGTCTTCAATCACATATGTTTAATTAATTCTGAGATGAAGTATATTGAGAAAAAATTTGTTCACAGAGTCTTTCTATTATTACTTAAAATAAATGTGATGTATAAATATGTTACATGTTAATCGAAACATTTATCTATATAGATTAGATTGTTCTCGTATGAGATACATCGTGATAGATTATGCTACCTACCATTGAGTATGTGTGTGTATATGTTGATGAAGAGAAAAGTCACAACCATACTTTTAAAATATCGTAGATATCAAAATTATTTTTATGAATTTATATACGAACGCAACTCAAGTAATAAGTTCATATGTTCATTTGAAAAATCAGTTTTTGTAATAAAAATTGAGTCAAGTGTTTCACCAGACAAGTTCAAGATAAGCTGTAGCAACACTAGTTGGATCAGCACGACGACGTAACGAATCTTTAATTGCTTGTATAGTACGTGAGACATGACCTTGAAAAACTTCACCATATTCTTCGACATAAACAGTAATTGGTTGATCCAAATCAATTAAGGCATCAGAAAGACAAAGAGTAAGTTGTTGAATACCTTCGCTAACAGTAATGAAAATAGCTTGTTCAACAACTTCGGCCGTTATTTTTTGACCTTGTTTAGTTTTTACAGTATCAGGTAATGATATCCAATAAAAACGATCATGAGTAACATCATCTTGAACCCAAACAACCTTCTTTGGCCATGGATTACGTGTCCATTGTGCCATCCAAGAGAGTGCTTTAGCATCTTGACCACACATCCAATGACCCATATCAACACATATATTAACATAATGATGATAAGCATTTTGATCTGTCTTTTGTAAAGTATCGAGTTGTTCAGACCATTGACGTGCTACTTCATTTCGATTGTAGGCACTATCTTTTTCACCGACAAAAATAGCAAATGGTAGATTACGTAGACCAAGTGGTGAAGCATCATTTGGATGTCCAGCCATCATAGAAGCGGCAGCAAATCTATCGGCCATACGTGGAGCAAGTTGATAGACACCATCACCACCAGCTGAATAACCCAAAATATAAACACGATTTGGATTAATTTCTTTGACAATGATATAATTTTCTATAATACGATCAAACATTGTATCGATATGTTCTTGATGCCATTGATTCCAACTATCTGTAGGACTTCGAGGTACTACCCAAATACCTTCACTTGGATTATATAATTTAATTTGATTTTGATATTGTTGATCATTGACAGAAGATGGACAACTACCTCCACCATGCATTGATATCCATAAACTATGGCCAGTTGGTGGTCTTGTTTTACTATAAATACATTCATGCCAACGAATTGTTTTACCATCGAGCGTAAGAGAGGTATTTTCCAATTCAGCTTTTCTTATTGATAATTGTTCATTTTTTAACTGTGTCCAAAGTTTATCTAAAGCAATAGAAGCTTCTTGTTTGCTTAAACTTGAAAAAGCATCGTCATAAATTGTTTTTCTATCAGGCGAAGTTATTGTATAATTAGCATTGAAATTATCCTATAGATGTGTTTTTTTTTTTTAATAATAAGAAAATAAAATGAATTCTTACTAAAGATTGCTGTTCAAACTCTCTGTTTGCTGATGGATAATCAAAAGATTGAATATTATCATCTGTCGGTATGAATGAGAAAGTTGCTTCTTCATCATCATACTTCTGTTTCCATTGTATATTCATTTTCTTTTTATCTTGAAAAGAATATCTTTAAAAAACAAAAGTAGCAATGTTGACAGCACAATGATCAATTAATTTAACAAAACATTTTATTGTTTGATATTATTATACATGACGTACGTTGAAAATCGTAACATATTTACTTACGTGTATGATCACGTTTTAGACAATCACATATACAACAATAATAATAGTTTTAAATTCAATATTCATCTGTTAATTCATCGATATGCAAATTACAGATTGTATCACATGCATTCGATAAAGTTGGATTGAGTAGTATTAAAGCTGAAAGCGGTTAGTGTAATTTCTGTGGGATTAAAATGAGAAACAAAATGTAAATTCTGTTGCTAATCACAGGAAGATCGTTTTATTCTATGTATGTATCTTGGGATGTATTTTTCCACCCTTCTTTTATTTAATTCTTCGAAAATACAATAAGAAAATACGTAGTTTATATATTGTAACAAACCGCTATTGATATAAGGTCTGCAATCATATATCAACATCGTCTATCAGGATCTGTGAGAGTGAGACGTGCAGGTAACCTGTACAAAATACGAACACCGCCAGAGCTGTAAGAAGCACATAGAGCTCGAAACGAATGCGATACTGACACCGATTCTAGGCTGCACTTTCTGTTCTCAGCTGTAATATATTATTTTTGTGGACATTCTAAGCACAACCTCTGACACCCATGATTACTTTGATTTTCAGTTAATGTAATATGTTTTACAATTAAGTAACAAAGTAGTCAAGGGTAAGTCTTGGATAACCGTAGATACTATGAACCACACGAACGCTTATCATTACCAAGTTTTTACTTGTAAAACATTGAATAAGTGAAAATCAGAGTAACCATGCGTGTTCGTGTCCACAAGAAAAAGCCTACATTCTAGTTGAAAACAAAAAGGATACTCTAGAATAGGTATTAGTGTGATATTCATTTCGAACCCTATCTATTTTTATAGTTTTAGTGATGTTCGCATTTTTTTACAAGGATCCGCACGAAGAAGTCAAAACAGAAGCGACATATTTTCAAAAATGATGAAACTAAAAAACAATGCCTTGAATTGAACTATAAAAGTGTAAATAATGAAGTAATTATATTAGCAGTGGTGAATCGAAGTTTTTTTTTTCTATGCTGGGTTTCAACTTCAGAGCATAGGACCTAGAAGAGGCTGATGGAGGGTGATATCGAACCCAAATGATAAGTTTTTAAAAAAAAAAAAGATTTTTTTCAACCGTCATCTCGTAATTTTTATTTTTAATAATATTTCAGTTTTTAGAATTTAATCGTAATCTACGTCAAATTTCATCTAGTGATCAGGAGATAGAACGTTTTGAATTTTTACGATAATTTTTGCGATATTTTCCAAAAAGTTATTCCTTCTGAATGGATGCATATTTTTTTGCTTTGAAATTTGAAATCTGCCTATGAAATTCGACGTAGATTACGAATAAATTCTAAAAAAATGAAATATTACTAAGAACAAAAAGAACCTATGGGGGTGGCGTTTGAAAAAAGTTTCTTTTCACAAACGCCGATCACAAAATTATTTTAACAAAACTCATCATTTAGCTCCAATATCACCTTCCATAAGTTTTATCTAGGTCCCATGCTCTGAAGCTGAAATTCAACATACAAAAGATCTTGAATCCGCAACTGTGCATTAGTTGTTTGTTCATGTTTTTAATTTAAACTATTTCAAAAAAATAAAGATGAAAATCCACGAGCTAAATTCAACAAACTAATCTTGCTTAATGATTATTTTTCAGCTAGATCTTTATTATTCATTTGATCTATAAATTAATCAATAAATGATCGTCTGTAGTTTTTTTAGTAGCACGCTTCTCAATAAATCAATAAATTAAGTATTCATTGACTGACAGAATATTACTCTAGACTGTCTCATGTATAATATTTATATGCTGATTGCTTCTGACAATTCCTAATTATTTTACTATATTTCTTTTTTTTTTTTGTCATACAAAATTTAGAACACATTGTCTCGGAGAAAGCAACCATCAAAATTTTTAAAAAAAGGACAAAATATCGTCTCACAAACCACGTCTCATCATCAGATTGTGACATCACTGAATATAACTCTTTTATTAAAATATATTCTTTCAACTTCGAAATATCTTATTAGAACTTAATGGTTCATCAAACTTCATATATTTGTATTATATATATATATACTATTTATTATTTTTCTTATGATTATGGTATTTACAATCTTCGCATAAATTTCTAATAACTTCTATCAAACAATTGATAACAATAGTAATAGCTAGAAAACAGTTTCTTCTCTTTTGCAATAGCTAGTATACTAATACTGTTATGACAGATGGTCTATTAATATAACGTTTGTTCTGTTTTTTGTTTTGGTCGCTTCAGTGAAAATGGCATTGTTTCTATTACTGATAAGACTAACGAAAAAACAAAACCTATTTACAATTAGGACAAATAGGTTCTGTAAGAAATTCCTTGAGACAATTCATGCATAAACTTTTTTGGTTTCTATCAAAACAGGCAAGAACGTTCTTCTGTTTTTTTTTTTTAGAATCGAACAATCTATTGCTTTTTTCGTTATACAAAAATATTGCAAATAAGTTTTATTTTTATCTTGTTTTTAATGTATAATATTTAATAAGAAATAAACATACTTTTAATTCAGGTAAATATGGTGAAGATATAAAGTAAAACATTATACAAAACACTGAATGTCAAGAAACAGAACGTTTTTTTTTTTCCTTTTCAGGTGTAAAAATTTTCGCTATATGCAACAAATACTTTTCATTGCAATGATAAAAAATGAGAGAACATGAATAATGTCGATTACTAAGAATGTATGAGTCTTTATGTTTGATCAACGTAAAGAAAAAATATATAAAATTGATTGAAATATTAAAAGCATAGAAAAGAAAAATGAATAATGAAATGATTTATACGACATTGCTTCTATTCAAAAGAAAAATTCATTAATGTGAACATTAATCGAATTGAATAATTTATTATCTTGCTATTTTTTCGAATTTTTCTAATACAAAAAATTTATTAATTTGATTTGAAATGAATATTTTTTTAATAATAAAAGATTCAATAATATTTTCAATAGATACATGATATGAATAATGATAAAGGAAATTCTCAAAGAAAAGTTCTTGAGAAAATATTGTTTTTCAGCATCGAGAACGGAGAAGTACCCTTTTGTTCAGATTTAGTAGAACATGCTATAGCAAAGATTTCTCGACGATGTTCTTTCGCTGAGAATATAACAATATGATGGAGAGTCAATAAAACAGTGTGTTTCAAAAGAACATCATAGAGATGTTTCATTCTGTAGGAAAATTCTTTTCTCTCGAGTTCTATTTAATCTGAACAAAATAATAGTTCGACATTCTCGATGCTGAAAAACTACATTTCTCATTTTCTGAAGAATTTTTTTTTGGGAGAATTTGCTAACAAATTTCCGTTATATATATTCTTCTTGAAAATAATTTTCTTCATTCGAAATACTCTTTGATCTATATACTTTTCTTTTTACATCGAATATTATTACATAAATCATATAAAATTTTCAATGAACTTTTGAAATTGTTCTTCAGATGATTCAAATAAACACATACATTCTTAGTAATCGACATTATTCATGTTCTCTCATTTTTTATCATTGCAATGAAAAGTATTTGTTGCATATAGCGAAAATTTTTACACCTG